AAGAAAAAAATAAGATAAGATATAAGATAAAATATATATATTTATTAAAGAAAAATATTAATTAATTACTCTTAACTTAGTAACTAATTTTTTCTATCAATTTAATTATTTTTCTTGATCATTTTTTAACTCTCTATATATAATATTTTCTTGCTATGCATTATTTTTAATATAATATTTCACTTAATTTACTCAAGAACAAGTAAAATTTGAAAAAAATAATTATAAAGAATATTAAATATATAATAATAAAAGAATTAAAATTAGTAAAATATTAAGTTATTTAAAACTAAAATGAGAAAAAAAAGAAAATTAATAATAATTAATTAAGTAATTATTAATTTAATAAAACTATAAATTAAGTATAACATACATGACTAAATTAATAAAAGAATAAAACTAAATATAGGTAATAATATAAATTAAAAATAGAATTAAATTATAATTAAGACTAATTAATATAAATTTCTTGTTTACCTGATTTAGTAGTAATCAATAATTACTATATTATATATTATGACTATGTCATATACTATATTGTATTTACTGCACTATATAAATAGATAATTAGTTATAATATTCTGAATCATACTTCTATAATATATAAGAAGTAAACAATATTATTCATATTTAGTAAAAGTCTTAATTATATTATGACAAAGTGATAATAATTCTAACTGATTAATTCTTAACTGGTTAATCACTAGTTAACTGATTAACTAATTAAAGATTTCTTATATAATTAATTATTTCTAGATATAGATATCATTGCTAAATAAGTATGTATAATGATAATAATAATAATAATGATAATAATAAATCAACTTGAACATAATTATATAATTACATTTATTAAATAATAATAATAAATTAACTTAAATATAATTATATAATTATATTTATTAAGTAATAATAATATCATTAAGTTATATCTTTTATTTTTATAATCTTATTAATAAAAAATTTCAGACTAATTTTTCATATTAAGAATTAATCACGTTAATTATATAAATTATATATAATAATAATAATAATCAAATCATTACAAATCAAAATAAAATTATTATCATAAATTAAAATATTATAAATCAAATCAAAATTATTATAAAATAAAATATTATTAATCAAAACAAAATTATCACAAATCAAAATACTATTAATATTAATATTATAGATTAAAATATTATAAATCAAATAATATTTTCTCTTTCTTTTTTATTTGATTCTGTACTTAATAATCAATAATTTCAAATTTGTGAGTTAATGATAAACTTTAATAATTTTGAAAAAAGTAATACTGATATTGAAGATAAATTCATATTATTAGTTATTTTATTAATAATTGTTATCTATTTTTTATAAATATCTGCATTAATAATTGCTATTTATTCTTCACAAATATCTGTATCAATGAAACAAAAAAAAATATTTGAAATCAAATACAAGCTGGATATGAAAATGATTTGATAAAGATGAAAATAAATGAAATGCTAAATATAAAGTTGCAGGATGTAATACAATTTTTTTTAAATACTACTACATCTTCTTATACTTATCATCTTGATCATGTTTATCTTATAACAAAAAATATATTAACTACTCAAAAAAAAGAAATGAGATAATAAATGATTTAAGAATGTAATATAATAATTCAGCTACTCTTAAAGAATAAATAGGAATAAGCAGATTTTTATCTCTTGGAATTTATAGTTGATAGTTTATAATTATTTATATTATTAGAAAATAAAAAATTTAAAGTCTTTTTAATTACTTTGTATCCTAGTTATAAGATTCTATGTAATAATATAATCAAAATTTTAATTGCATAAAGTGTTGAATTTTTATGTCAAATTTTGACTGGCTTACTTGATGAAACTATAATAAAAATAAGCTTTACAACTAATTTATAAACTGGATTTTATTAATTCTATATTAATATAACTGCTTATTAAATAACTAAGAATTTTAAGCTTTGATAGGTCTTACTGATGATTGAAAAAATATCATATAATTATACTAATGCAAATATAGCTGTAAAATTATAATATATACTTAATCATTGACATATTAATCTACAAGAATAAATTATTACTGGTATAAGTGATAATAATGCAAAGATATTAAAAGCATTTCAGAACTTATAAATTACTAATTTTTCTTATTATATATATACTATTCATTTAGCTATATCTGATGGATTACAAATTAATTCCTGTCAAGAATTATTAAAAAAGACAAAAATACTTAATTTTTTTTATTCATTATGATAAATATCAAAATTATTTTTTTCAAATACAAAAAGTTCTTCAATCTAATAAAGAAATATTTGCTCTAATTCAAGATGTTAATACAAGATGAAATTCTATATATAAAGTTCTTGAAAGACTTCTTATTTTAAAATCTGCAATTCAAATAATATATGAAGCAATACAAATAGATAATGATGCTGAAATACGCAAAGATGATAATAACTTAGCTATATTATTTATGATGAGAGATAAATGGAATGATATTAAGGAATTGATATCTGTTTATCTGTTCTTTATCCATTTGTGCAAGCTACAAATTTTTGAGTGGTGCAAATTATTCAACTATTTCAATTCTTTATCTAATAATTAAGGATCTTTTTCAATATATGTGACATAATACTCAATAACTTAGTTATCAATTTATTATTCAAATTCATGATGCTATTTTAAAATCAATGGAAAATCAATGGAAAGATCCTCAAGATCTTGGACTTTTGGCATTTTTAATGGATCCACGCTCTAAATCACTTGCTTTTATTTCATCTTTACAAAAAGAATATGCATTATCTCTAATTTGTAATCATATTAATTCATCATCAGAAGTTGAATCCTCTTCATCAGTAATCAGCTCATCATCTCCTATATTACAATTTTTTGAGAAATTTGGAATGCAAGACATATATAAAACTAAGTCTGAATTAGATCTTTATATGGATATTTCTATTCTTCCTCCAACTGAAAAAAATGATCCAATTCTTTGGTGGAAAGTTAATCATAATACTTTTTCTCAATTATCAAAAATTGCTTGTTGTTATTTATCTATTCCTGCAAGTTTAGTTCCAGCTGAAAGATTATTTTCTAATGCAGGTAATGTTTTTACTGAGAAACGTAATCGTCTTGATCCAACTACTGTTTCAGATCTTTTATTTTTACAATAAAATTTAACTATTTTTACGATTGTTCCTAAATAACTTATAATATAGTTTATTATTCAAAAATCAATGATATAATATGATATTTATAATATATAGTTTATTATTCAAAAATCAATTTTATGATACTTTTATTTTACGTATATGTTTTTTATTATATTATCGATATGCTATTTTTATTAAATAATTAAAAATTTACTATATATGGAAATATCTATTGATGGACTGGTTAATCACAAGGTTAACCGGTTAAGAATTTTTAACCGGTTAGGATCACTACAGGGTGGATCTATTTTCGGGTATGTGTGATCTATTTCGGATGTACTACAAACATCATGCAAGTATATGATTTAGCGGAGCAAGCACAAGGTGCTAATTTTCCAGCATGCGACTATACTTGATCATATACCCGATAAATAATGCGTAACATTTATCCGAAAAATTTAATCATATATTTCACACAAAATTATATGATAATTCAACCACCAGGGCCATCTTTATTGAGATAAATATAAAATACAAGATATAAAAAGTACATATAACGAAGTCTAGTAATCATCTCGGGGAGTGGAAACAATAGTACTATCTTCCATTTGCCTTTGCGATGTGGCAGTAGGTGCGTGATATAGTAAAGATAAATTAGTAATTATTATATTACGTAAAAGCAAAAGAGTTTCTACAAAGTTAGTTACTACATCCTCATCTGATATTCGCACAGGAATTTTAGCCGATTGTATATGATAATATTTATGAATATTGACTTTATCCCTGATAAGAACATTCAGATGTAAGGTATCACCTGCTATTTGTATCCCAACTATTCCGAATTGATCTTTATCCATTAAGAGTTTTTCGCGTCCAATATAGTCTATCGTTAGTTTCACGCCATAACTTTATCTATCATCGATCTTTTTTTGTGGACTACAAACTAAACGGGAACATTCGACATACATAAGCTCAAAAATTACATCCAAATACCTCACCGCTAGCATGATATCTGGACGTCTCCCCATTTGTCCATCCCCCTTCCTATCAGCGCCAGCAACGCTTTGTCTTTCCGAGGTACTGATAAATGAAGACGTCCTAAAAGGAAGATTTCTCAATACCGCTCGAATAGCTAGTACAATAACAGTAGATTGATAAGTTCCTTCGTTGAACGATTTTGATACTTCGGAATCAAGGGCTGGATTATTCCAAATATCCTCAAGAACGCTAAAAATTTCCTTTACGACACATGTGATTTCTTCTTCGGATTCCTTCCATGTTAAGTGCTAAAATTGCTTTTTCGAGTTTTTTTATAGATGGATCACTCGGGATTTGAGGCGACATTGTATTTTTGCGTAGATATATGAATGCTATGGCGGGAATTATATATATTATTGCGTTTCCGGGGAAAGTTGTGTGGAGTATCTCCATAGTCAAGATGTCCCGATTAAATAAATCATAGATCACGATTACAGTGATGAAAATAACGAGCAAAAAAATGTCGGATGAATTGAGTGGCATGTTGTGGCAAATAAATTGATTATTCGGTTAATTGTTTGATTGCTATATCGCGCGACGATAATTGTTTTGATGCTTTGTTAAGGACGAACCTGCGAATTTATCCCTAGACAGCGCACGTTTTTATATCGGTAGCTTGTAAAACTATATCCCGCAGTAAAGGCGATCAATAGCGGAGGTACATATATCTTAATTTCGCAAAACAAAGAATTAGCTTAGTTTCTTGCGCATCTCATAAGTATGCCTTTTCTTAACACGAATTATATCTGGTTTATTCTTTGCATTGGTTCTTTACTACTGGTGACCAGATTTCGTACTAATTAATCACAATATACGATTTACCGATCTACCAGTTATCCTTTAACATTCTATGGTATTGGTTCTTTTTGTATTTTTTGTATTTTCATTAATCAAGATAATAAAATCAGCTATTAATAGCGAAGCTAGTGACAAGACATATATTATCTCTAACTCTACTAATCCAGCAGTTTGATACGCAGTATTTTGGTGTTCCGGCCAACCACATACCTGAAAAAATCGATTGCGTAACACAGAACTTTTTATGCATGATGACCTGCTGATTGACTAACTCGTGGCATACGCGCGTTTTTTTTGTGAAAAGTTTTTTTTTCGCTACGTTTTCTTCCACCCTTTACGCCTGTACTATCTATTATGTCAAAGAAATATCTTGGTAAAGTAAATGACATTTCCTTGTTTTTGGCAGTGTTATACTTAAAATTGATGGTAAATTTCAGATGAGGCCGTCGATTCGTATTTCACTGATACTCCGCCGTCAGAATGGTCATACCTGGGTTTTTTAGAAGCATTAAAATCAACATGGATGTCCACTGATAGATACATATCATTCGTCGAGAACTCAGCATTACGAAAACGATACTGTAATTTCCTAAGAATTCTCTCTGAGGAACGAGATAGTGAGCAAGGTAGAACTGCGACTTTACTGTTACAGAAGGTGCGTAATCTTTTTATCTCCCCTCTTTTCTGAATCAGGAGTTGCACAGCCTCGGAGGGGTGCCGTTCCTACTCCGAGGTATGGGGTGCCGTTCCTACAGTGCAACATTCTGCTGTCATACAGCTCTGGGGGGTGCCGTTCCTACCTGGGGTGATGGGTGCCGTTCCTAGTATGACATTGTAATTGTAAATCTTCTAAATGGTCTAGTCGTAAAATTAACCTTTTTTTGTAAGGACGAAACGCATGGGGTAAAGGAATTCTGGGAATGCGTCAATCTTGATAAAAAAGTGACAAAAGAACGGGTGTGTTTTATTGTTTTTAATTATACCTTCACCTTCGATTGTACTCTGTTAACCTGTTATCTTCCTAGATCACTATTAAGAAGAAAACAGAATTAGACGCATTAAAGGTGCTTGAATCCGCTCGGACCAATGAAGCGGACGGTCTAGTTGACCAGTTCAACATCGAGAGGAAGCAAAAGAAATTTCAATTAACCACCGATTTATCTGATCATAAAGTAGAAAATGACGATTACAACAAAGAGAATGTAGAAAATAATAAGGTAAGTTTTTTCGTAAATTCTAATTCTTGATATTTGACAAAATTAACACATAGCCACGTAGATGGGTCCGTTCCCTCTCACTGAGGAACACCGACAGATGATTGAGCAGACATTTAATGGTATGAAAAAGGAGAGAATGTGGAGACTTTCAAC